TGTGTGTGTGTGTATGTATTTCATATACATATATATGCAAAAATAATATTATTTAATAAATAAAAATTGATATATAAATGTAGTAGTAACTCTACCATCGGTGACTCTGTTAAGATGTACACTATCGTGTATACTAGAATCCCATGCTGCTATAGCACATACGTCCTTTTCCAAATGACGAATAAATGGTAGATTATAAAATTTGTTACCATGTTCTTTCGGTAAAATTGAGTTTAATCCTGTCACCGATACTTCTTCTCCTGATTGATGAGTTGAAAGATCATCGGCTGTATTTTAAATGGAAGATATTAATTCAAATGATTTTCAATATATTTTGTATGAAAATGTTAATATTAAATTTTTGAAAGAGAATATGTTAGATGTTATAAAAAATTTGTAATTCGTTATACCATTGAGATCAAGGAATAGGACAGGTATATGAGGTTCCATTCCTGGTGGTGGATTCCAATCTGCTGGAGCACCGGGTATACCTGATCCCGCAGCAGGTACTAAAACTGCATTTCTTTCCTCGGTTAAACTAACCCACTGATCGACGAGACTCTGTTCTCGTTCAACGTCTTGTTCGGTTTTTTCTAAATTAATATATATATATACATACATACATACATACATGTATGTGTGTGTGTGTGCGTGCGTAAAAAATAAATATATTATTTATTTAATACGAAATATTAATATTAAATGAATACAATAATATATAATTCGTATTATTATTAATTGTAATATAATATTAATTTATAACGATAAATGATATTAAAAAAAAAATTCGATCTACGATAGGGATCGATCGATCGATCATTTTCTATTACCTTGTTTGTTTATAAGCTTTTGTATCTGTTGATCCAGATATTGTCTTCGCCTCATCAAAGCGTCGCTCCATTTTTCTCTCAATATACTCAAATCCTCGTCCTGATAACTATCCAAAGGTATTTGAAGACGATTCCTCACGGAAACACTACCAACCGCTATATTCAATATAGATTGACAAATAATCGGTAAAGTTCCGGAATTTTGTACTGGTTTAACTCTAACTTGTATACGACGCTGTTGGCCTTGTCTCAATTGATAAATTCCACCTGTTGATGGATGATCGTCAAAATACAATTTGAATTGAAAAATAATATATTAGAAAGGATGAACGTTAACGAATACTTTATCGATCCATGTAAAATACAAATGTGAGATAGATGAATTTAGGAAATTTTTTTAAATAACAATAACCTGTCCATGTGTCCTGTTTCGTGACAACTTCTACGGGCGAATATTCTCCTTGTTCATTGAGTTCTTGTATCTCTACCCACAATTCTATCTTTCTCGTTAATTCCGACCAACGATCGGCTAATGAACGAGCTTTGGCCAATTGTTGTTGTTCAACTTCCCATCCGGGTTTGCTACGAGAAAAGCCGGCGCTTCTGTGACCCCAAACTTCTATACTCAAAGCGCCTTCTGTGAATATACAAAAAGAAAAAAAAAAGAAAAAAAAAAAAAAAAAAAAGAAAAAAAAAAAGAAAAAAAAAACAAAACAAGAAGAATAATCATTCGCGATTATTGGATTTCTCGTTTGAATTGAGAAATATATACGCAAAAAAAAAAAAAAAAAAAAAAGAGAGAGAGAGAAAGAAAGAAAGAAAGAAAAGGAAATAAGAAATATTATATTCTTACCGGCACAATGTTCTATAAATTCTTCCGTTATCGGTACCTTGAAATCTTCAGTGTGATCAAACCTAAACGCAAGAGAATCTCTTTGTCCGGTTGCACAATTCGAGGGTGGCAATTCAGCATTTACTACTGGCGGTACAACTATAAGTTCTGGATTTCCCCAAAACATGTATTGACAGAATACGAAATGGCTCAATGACAGGGGTAAACCCGTTGCCTGTTTTATCGTAACACGACAAGTAATATGACTTGATCCAGAATAATCATCTGGCTCAGAGGACGTTGAATCGCCCGATGATTCGGATGCTGCCTCGCAAATACGATCCTGAGGAAATTGTCCGGCGATACGGCTTATCTCAACTTGAAGTCGTCCAGCGACCTCACCTTGTTGACTGATAATAGGCGTGTGATAATCTAACCGAACGTCGTGAAACAGTACCTCTAAAAATATATTCGCTACGCCGATCAAATTGTGCTTCTCTTGTGACTCATAAAATGGATCTTGGGTCTTTCCTAATACTTCGTCCTGCATATAAAAGAAAAAGAAAAAAGAAAAAAAAAAAAAAAAAAAAGATAATGTAAGTATTAGTGATCGTATTGATCTTTTTATCTTTTTTTTTTTTTTTCTCTAATCTGTCATCGGTTTTTTTTTTTTCCTTCAATTTCGCGACTATCATTTTTTTACCTTGACAATCGGTAATCGTTGACAATTATTTGGATCCTTTCGTTCCTCATACATTTCTCGCATGTCGACCAATTTGTTCTCCAATTTTTCCATCGACCATACCTGACTACCCATGTTAGTCCTTTTTACCAATATAGCCGGTTCACTGACGAATGCACCACGCTGGAAGAATACACTCTACGTGTAGTAACGTGAGAGTGTAAAATGGGTGAAAGGAAAAAATAAAAAAAAAAACAAAACAAAGAAAAAGTAACAAACAAACAAACAAACAAACAAACAAACAAACAAACAAACGAATAAACAAAAAGAAACTGAACGAATATATAGAAATAATATTACGAATATAAGAGAAATATAATGTAAAAATAATTCATATGATTCGAGAATGAATGAAATCAAAGGACATAGTAAATTAATTATATTATTAAGCGAGGGGAAAAAAAAAAAAAAAAAAAAAACAAAAAAACAAATGAAACAAACATAATTTTACTCTTTTTTTTTTTTTTTGTGGTCATTGTCATTGTTATTATTGTTGTTATTAATTATATTTCAATGATTACCTTTCTATTAGGGCTCAAATTATTCGGAGGGATCTGCAAAGTAACGCTAAATTTCGTTTGCTTTCCCATTTCCTCGGCAAGAAAATTAGCTTCCTGAACCAAAGCATTGGCCTTGAGTATGTCGGTCTTTAACTGGCCCAAACTTCTCTTGAACATTTCGTCCCTTTCTTGGGCCCATTTTTCAACGCGCATTTGCGTTGTAGGCGTACAGGCAGGAAGTTTTCCAGTTTGGCTGCCTCTCAAGGGATCATACGGTACGTATGGTGAATATGGCGTTGATGGTGATAATATATTACGTAATTGTTGAAATTGTCGTTCGTACTCCAACCTTTGTTTTTCGAGTGCAACCTTTGAGTTTTTAGAGGGGCAAAAAAAAAGAAAAAAAAAAAAAAAAACAAAAAACAAAAAAGAAAAAAGAATTGTGAAATAAATCAAGTTTTATCAGAAGAGGATAGATTTTTTGTTTTGTTTTTGTTTTTGTAATTGATCGATCAACAATAACTACACACTTGTTTGTCCTCCTCGTGTTGTTTCTCTAATCTGGCAATGGCTCTTTGAATCGGATCATTGGACAATTCGTTTTGCATTAATTCTTCCCTCGCAAAAGTATAATCGATGTTTTGTGCAGGTGTTTGTGGTTCGCTGTTAATAGCTAAAAAAAAAAAAAAAAAAAAAAGAAAAAGAAAAACGAGCATCGTTAAAATTATTATCTCTCATAACTATGATAAAATAGAAATGAAGAATGTTTATAAACTGATTGTTTTGTTAATTAATTTAACAGACAATAATACCTGTAGCACTTCTCGGACAATTAACCCTGAAGAAATGATGATTTCCCCAAACGATTCTATCGCCATGTAACAATGGGGTTTTGTCGACTACCTGATTGCCATTAACGAAACATCTGGCACCGTTCAAAGGTGTCATATAAAGACCGGTTTCCTCGATCGTGATCACACAATGTTCCGGTAATATACCCAATCCGTGTAATTGAATGTCCTGTTCCGTTTTTGCCGAACGTCCACCAACTAGAGTCCTTTCTTTGAGATAATAAACCAATAGCTCGTTCAAGCTAGGATCGTCATTTAAATTCACCAAATAATATTTGTTCTTTTCAACTTGTATTCCAGATGCTTGGACACTGATACCCATTTTTTCCAATGCCTGTTGTCTCTCGTGTTGTAGTCTTTCAGTTTTAACGAGCTTCTCTTCCCATGTTTGTGACATCTCCTTCATAAGTCTTTCCGATTCTGATAATTTCTCGGTTATATCTGTGCGTTGCTGTCCGACGATTGAACCCTGTCCCTTTAAATGTAAAATCGATAATTTAATATTAACCCTTTGATAATATCAAAGACGAAAGGTTGTTAATGGATTATCTTATCAAAATCCAATTTCAAATATACATATACATATATATATATATATATATATATATATATATATATATATATATATTTTACCGTAGCATGAAGCAACATTTCCTTTAACGCCTCAACCTCTTGTCTCAGCTCTCGTATGATCCTTGCATTTGGATCTTCGTTGACTACAGCATGATTGACTATTCTCTTCGCTCTATCCGCATATCGTAGAGTCGACAACGTTTCCTCGTAATTGTCTGCCGCAGGCGATATGGTGGCAACCATAACGGTTTTACTATTACCACCGAGATTATCCTGAAAACAAATCTACATGTAGAGACGACGCTCGTAAACGGTTATTGTATGTGTGTGTGTGAGAGAGAGAGAGAGAGAGAGAAAGAGAGAGAGCAAGGGTATACCCCTACACGTTCCTAAACTTCTCTAACTCTCTTTGGTACATTCACTAAACTCCTCGTCCCTTTGCTACACAACTAATATTTAGTACGTAATATCTTCTCTTTATTATTTCCTTTCCCCCAAGTATAATTTATTTTCAAAAGACTGACCCAAATTGTTTAAGTTCTTGTTCAAGAAATTATATATATATATATATTTTTTTTTTTTTGATCTCTTATCTAATTTTATCTTTAATCTACGAAACTGCTGTTACAATAGTTAATTTGATAATAACGAGTGTAAAAGAGAGAGGAATTTTGTCTTGTTGAAGAAAAAAAAAAAAAAAGAAATAAAAAATGAAAGTAAATGAGTAATGGAAGTATTTAATAAATAAGTCAAGGCTTTAATTTGGTCTATGACCTAATTTGATTTAATCGCATCTGAGATATTTCTACCCGAGGGAAAATTCATTTATTTGTATGTGTGTGCGTGTGTGTGTCGGTATGTAAAAATAAATCACTTATTTTCCCTCTCTTATTATTTCACTTCAAGGACCTTGACGTTGAAATAGTTCAAGGTTAAATATACATATTATTATCATCTCGATGTAAAATCTTAAAAATCTTTCGATAGGGACTTCTTTTTCTTTGTTTCAAAAGAAGAAGGAAAAGAAAAAAAAAGAAATATATATATATATATATATATATATATTATTACCTTCAAAAGCCACGTTAGAACAGAATCTCTGTAAGGCACAAACTTGTCTCTATTTTTATTGCCCCCAGAATTCTGATCCGCAAGCTTCGAAATGACTAGACCCAATGTCGTGAGAGATCTATAAAATAAAGAGAGAAAAAGAGAAAGAGAGAGAGAGAGAAGGAATAAATAATTAATGTTTCATCGAAAATTTAAATCGAAGATTTAATCTTTTTTTTTTTTTTTTTTTTTTTTTTGGAAAAAATAGAACGTTATGTTGAGTTTGTTGCATTATTATATATAAAACTTACTTGTTAATATTGCTTCCCTCTTTAAGCCTATCGCCTACCGCTCCAGTTTTCACAGCCCTTTCGCTTCCCGCCAAATCTACCAAACTCATTCGTGATACTTTCTCACCACTGACACCACTTTTCGAATCCGTCAGAGTTTGCGTGAGAATCACTGAAAATACTGCATGCGAACGAGAACTTTCCGAGTTCATATTCGTCGCAGCCACTGTTCTCGATTTGTTGCCTTCCGCCATTAAATTATCGATATCCTGTAACATTATTGTTAAATTATACTTTTATAGATTTTTTCTTTTTTTCTTTTTTTGAATGTCTTTTCTTTTTTCTTTTTTTTTTTTTTTTTTTAAGAATAGGGACGAGGGAGGGGGTTGGAAGAAGAAAATTAATTAATTGAGATTAATAAATTCTTTTTACATTTTAAATGGAAAAACTCGTAACGAACGTTACATTTTTTTTTAATACAATAACAAATTAATTTTGTAATATATATATATATATATATATATATTAATTAATTAATTAATTAATTAATATATATATATATATATTAATTAATTAATTAATTAATTAATTAATCTTTCTTTTTATTATATAATTAAAAATTTTTTCATTCATATAATAACATTTAAAATTATTAACAAATGTTATAATCAAATATATCAATTATCAGCAAAATAATTACACACACATATATATATATATATATATATATATATATATATATATATAAATATTTTTGTATACATAATATTTAAGATTTTATGTATTAAATTCTCTCTTTGCGTGCTGTCAAACAGAAAAAGAAAGAAAGAAAGAAAAAAAGAAAAAAAAAGAAATAAATAAATAAGAAAAAAATTATATATTATATATTATATATATATATATATATATATATATATATATATATATATATATATATATATACTTGTAAAAAAAGAAAAGAAAGGAAGAAAAAAAAAAGTTTCCATATAAAAAAAGTTTGAAGATATTATTGATTCGATGGTGAATTTGTTCACACCTGAAAGGATGTTACAGCGAGCTGACTCAATCCGTCTACGTAGGGGCCAAGTACATTGTGCTCCCTGACTTTGAGCGAGTGCTTATTCGGCTTCGGATCGAGGAGATCGTGCACCTTCTCATTGTAAATCTCCATGTAAGATACCTCGACCTTAAAGGTCAGCTGAGAACTCTGTTGCTTTGCTATCATGTCGAATAGATTGTCACATAGCCGTGGTATTATTCCCTTTTGATCACCGCTCCCCATCATGGTGTAAGATTTCCCAGACCCTATTGATTTCAACGAACGTTAATCTCAATGATATATATATATATATATATTCAAATACTTTTGAGATAATAATTTTTATTTTACAATAATGACATAAATATAATGAATACAATGATAATATAATGAGGTTGAATTTGTTGGATGCTTTTTTGTAATCGTTAAAATTTTCTTTTTTTAGTTTTTAATTGTTTCATTTTTTTTGTTTTTTTTGTTTTTTTTTTTCTTTTTTTTTTTTTTTTTTTTATCACAGAATTCTACACGGTAATGTAATTTTATTAAGGAAAATGTTATTATTCTTTAAAACAAAACAAAAAAAAAACAAAAAAATATGTCTACTTGTGTGTCAATAATTTTTCATACAAACACAAAAAAAAAAAAAAGAAAAAAGAAATTCATTCTATAATTCTACAACATTATTCTACAGAGTTAATATTTAAGTTATTTATATTATTAATGAAAATAATAATGATAATTACATATAAATTATAGATCACGTAATTATGATCATTAATAATGATAATAATAATAATAACTAATTAATAGGACATAATGAATATCGATGTAAAATGTATTGAATTAATCGAACCTTTTTATTTCACCCTCGTGTACTATTATAAATATATTTAATTTGAAATTATGATAGTTAAAAAATATTATTTTATATAGACGATTCGATTAGACGACGTGTTGTCTCCTATCTTCTTCTTTTTTTTTTTTTTTATTTTATTTTATTTATTTCAAGTATCACAGTTTGACGTTTATCTGAAGTATGACCCCTAAAAGACTGGCTATAAACGTGTGGCTATTTGTTTATCGAATTAGTTTGCGAATGTTATTTATTCTTGAATATATATGAGGACGACAAAGTATAATGATTTCTTATCGGAAAAACTGACCGACGCTGATGACTCCGAAGAATTAATGGAAAAAGAAAGAGAGAGAGAGAGAGAGAGAGAGAAAAGAGACAAAGATATAATTAATGAGAAAATGATTAGTTATTATTAGAAGTCAATGTCTGAAATTCATTTGCGAATGAAATATTTCCTTTTATACATATTAAATGTGTTATATCATTTTAATAAATAAAAAATAAGAGAAAAAGAAAATATGGAATAAAAATATTTTTACGAATTAATCTTTCGCGAAGTTTTATTCGAAATGAATTTTAATTTGAAAATGAATCTATCCGTAATTACAGGAAAATAAGATAGACGTGACAAAGCGTTTCATTAAACGTTATGAAAACAGGGATATATTACACTTGGTCTGTGTGTGTTTTCTTTTTTTTGAGAATTGATAAAAAAAAAAGTAATTTGTTTATTAATTGTTATGCAATTTTATAAATCGGATCTAATCTGAATTTTTGTATCAATAAGAAAAAGAAAAGTAAGATGAATAATTTTGTTCGTAAGATTTTTTTTTTTTTTTTTTTTTATAAAAATTGTTTATAACAAATTGTTCATTAATTATTAACAATACGTTGAAAAGAGAAAACATTGTCCTTTACAAACGTATTCGATTCAAGTCTCTATGACTTTTAGTTCCGAAGATATTCTCATAAAACGTTTAGTTATTAGTAATGTAGAAAAAAACAATTGTTTATCCGATAAACAAAATAATTTTTTTTATTAATTATTTATTAATTTTTATGTAATTTTATAAATTGTACAAAATCTGAATCTTATTGTTGGCGAAATAAGATGAATTTGGTTCGTAAGAATTTTATTTATGACAAATTGTTTATAACAAATTGTTAATTAATTATTAACAATATGCTGAGATTATAGAGAAAATTCTGCCCTTTAAAACGATATTTTATTCGAGTCTCTACGATTTTTAGTTCCGGAGATATTCCCATGTAAATGGAGGACGTTTACGTTGACCCACTAACCTATATAATTTCATTCATTGGCCCAGTGACACACTGACCTATATAAATTTCAAGAATTTACGCATGGCCTACTACTACTACTACTATTACTACGAACAGCTGGACTATTATGAATTATGAATGAAAATTTTTCGAAGTCGATATCTTCGAAACGAAAAATCGTAGAGACTTGAAACCAACGCCATTTTCAAATATAATTTAATCTTTATTTATTTAAATAATGCAATAATATTGTTATAATAAAATCAATTTTGTTAATAATTTTTATAATTGAATTTCTTCCATTTCTTTCGTAACAAAAACATACCAATCACGAAATCATTCGAATTTTTATTATAATTATGTAAATTTTATTTTGTTTATTTAAAATCGGCCATATTACTACTGCTGCCATTACTACTACTATTACTACGAACAGCTGTACTATTACGAATTATGAATGGAAATTTTTCGAAGTCGATATCTTCGAAATGAAAAATCATAGAGACTTGAAACCAACGCCATTTTCAAATATAATTTAATCTTTATTTATTTAAATAATGCAATAATATTGTTATAATAATATCGAATTTTTAAATAATTTTTATAATTGAATTTTTTTTTCTTTTTATCTTTTCTTTCGTAATAACGACGTAACCATAATGAAATCATTAAAATTTTTATTAAAATTATATATAATCTTACTTTATTTATTTAAAAGAAATAATACAAGATTTATATTAATAATTGCCAATTAATGAAATCGAAAGATCAAAATACAAAAAAATTTTCTTGACATATCTTGGGTTAATACTTTTTTTTTTGTCTAATATATAAAGAATAATTCAAATCTATATTCGTTGTAATATTGTATTAATTTAAATAATATAAATAATTGAAAACTTATTCGTAGAGGCACCGAATACATTGTATGAATACCAAAGCACGTTTATACTGTATGACCGACTTCACGAAGAATTTTCTTATCTTACCAGTTTGTCCGTAAGCGAAAATGCAAGCATTGTAGCCTTGAAACGCATTGTCCAAAATATCGCGTCCAAGAGCATCGAAAACTATTTCCTGACTTGCAAACTTCTCCGATCCGGGTTCCAAAGAATAGAAGCAGTGATCGAACGCAAATGTCTTCGGCTTGTTCCTATAACACATATAAATGAAATATTTTCATTAGTCGTATGAAGTGTATATATATATATATGTATGTATATATATTATGTATAGATAAAGAAAAAAGATAATGAAATTGTCTTTATGAGATGACTAGGTATACATAGATATGACTATGAATATAAATTTAGTTCGTGAGACGGCTCAAGCGAAATTATAGGGTTTCGATTATATCTCCTTTTGATACTTATATTAAAATCGGCTCCAACGTTGATTCCGAAGAAATTCGATTTATTTTTTTATGATAAGGATAATATATAAGAGGATCTTTTTTTTTTTCTTTTTTTAATCCCTTTAGAAAATGATATTCTACGAAATATGCATTATTGACTGAAATATAATTATTAGAATTTAATAATGTTCTTAATTAATATTCAGGATATGAATCAGAATAAATGTAAATAATTCGATTCCATTTAACATTTTAAAACAAAATTTAATTGTAAAGTTTACAATCGATTATATATTTTTATTGTCAATATTTCTTACAATTAATTTTATCATGGTATAGAGCAATTTGATTTGTTTTCATTTTATTATGAATTTCTTTTTTCTTTTTTTTTTTTTTTTTAATGTTTAAATCCTATTATCTGAAATAATTATTAACTATTTAAATGAAATAAAATAAAATAAATAAATAAAAAAAAAAAGTAACGAGTTGGAAGATACATGATAACTATAAAAAAAAAAGAAAAAAAAAAAAATAAAATTAATAATTTGGTCAATAAGAAAACATTGAAGTTCGTGTTCCTCAAGGATTCTATAATTCAATAATCTCAATGAAAACGCGAATATATCTTTATGTCTTCGTTATAATAACGCGACCTCGTCATTTCAAAACCCTTTGTGAATGTCAATAAAAAAAAAAAAAAAAATCGACATATCGCATGATTGCTTTCCTAATCGATTTTTCAACATTATTCCGTGGTATTCTACAATAGAATATATAATGTTTGCGTCTACCAGATTAAAAAAGAAAAATTGATTTTCCCTTTTACCATATTCACCATGGCAACGATAGATTAATTATTGACGGTTTTAATCGTAAGTTAACCGGGCTTTTAGAAATATTCAACAGACATCGCGAACGATTTAATTAAAAAAAAAATTAAAATAAAATAAAATAAAATAAAAAGAAAAAGAAGAAATAAAAAAAAAAGAGAGAGAGAGAGAGAGAGAGAGAGAATGAAAGGTACAATCAATCAAAATGTTTTATCATCAATTATTATTATTTCATTCATTATAAATAAATTAAATAGATTCTTATATTAAAAATATAATTTATAATTTGTAATAAAATTTTAATTTATAATTCATAAATTATGATTTTAAATATATTTATAAGAGAGTGAGGAGGGGGGCAGGGGAGGAGAGAGAGTGAGAAGGAAAACCTTTTATAAGAAAAATGTCAATGAAATATCGATAGCGAATTGTTTTATCGATCGAGCGTCATTATGCAATGTTTCTTTTTATTATTTATTTATTTATTTATTTATTTATTTTTTCTAATCTTCTCTTAACCCTTTCATTTATATACTATATAACATTAAAGAATTTAATAAGTCCATTTCGATTCGGTCGACGAACGCAATTCTGAAATGAAAGAACAAGACATATAATATTAAATTCAAAATGGCTGTGTTCCGTGGAGTTAGTACAATAACTGATATATAGATTTAGTTCGTACTTACTTTATAGAAACTCAAGTCCCGTAGGAAAAAGGAAGTTGTATCGGAATTGGGGTTAGGATAAGGAGAATCGATTTATTCGTAAAGCGTTCATAAAAGTGATCGTAGAAGAATATAACGATAGTGATTCGAAAGGGTCGTTAGCTTCCGATTATCAGTTTTCTTTTATCGTTGTCGATGACAAAACTTTCTTCGAGAGTTGAATATCGTAATCAACGTTGAAATATCGTATTGTTCTTGGCAATGTCTCCGGCAAAGGATAAGAAGAAATCAGAAATTAAATACGTAAGAATATACGTATAACACGTATAAATGTTTAATGTATGTATGTATGTATGTAAGTAATGTTCGAAGTTTAAATTTAAATAAGTAACATTGTAATAATATTTTATGTTCGTTTGTTCTAGTTTTATTTATTTATTTATTTTTTTTTTCTTTTATTTGGAAATGTTTGATGTATATTCTTGCATAAGAAATAAATAAAAGGCACTATTTGAATTTTGTATTGTAAAAAGAATGAAGGAGAAAACAATGTTTCATATCTTGTATTTAAATAAATAATATTATAGTATCTTAAAGAAAAGAAAAAAAAAAAAATGAAAAAGAAAAAGGAAAAAAAATTGATTGATACTTTATATTAAAATAAATAATATTAGGTAGAGTACTCTATATATATATATATATATATATATAAGAAAAATTTCATGATGAAAGTTCGAGATTCGCCACAATCGACGAAGATCAATCTTCCTTATGGGTAAAATGGTGTTAATCGAAAAACGTTTGTACACAGGCACACACATACACACACTTTTGATTTTTACTATCGTACAAATGAGATATTTATGCGCCACCATTTTCTTCTTTCTTACAATAGCTCTTCGCCATTTTTATTGGCATGTATGTACTAAGATATATATATATATATATATATACTCATACACACAGACATACACATTAATGGAAAAGAGGTTCTTTGATATTTGAGAAATTGAACGTCGAATAAACGATACGATCGAGTAGTTATAATTTCATGACCTGACCACTCGAAATAAGATCGATCGATCGATCGATCGAACGAACGAAACGAGATATGCTTTTTCATTTTATTTAACGATATTTCGAATCATCATCAAGAAGAAGTGATTTCCCATTTCACGAAATAGATCTTCTCCCGATGAAGGACGAAACGTAACCGTTTGGTGGGAGGAGGAGGAGGAGGAGGAGGAGGAGGAGGAGGAGGAGGAGGAGGAGGGGATTTTAATTCGATATCATATAGATTTATTATACGCGACATTAATCCATAATATTTTAACAAAATTCAACGATCTCTTTAACGATCGTGTATTATTTTCAAACGGTAACAAACTATCTAAGTTTTTTTAAAAGATGATAATAAATAATAGAGAGGAAAACGAAGGGAACAGTATTTCGAGAGGAATGAATGAATTTAATGCAATTGTCTGAAATAGATAAAAAAAAAAATTCGATGAATTTTCTTCGTTTATTGGATGAAATCCGAGTTTAGTAAGTTAAAAGAATAAAAGGAAACGAATTTCTCGTTCCCTTTAGAAAGAAGATCGCTATCTATACGATAAGTATAAAGGGCTAGAGAGACAAAGAGAGAACGAGAGAGACAAAGAAAGAAAGAGAGAGAGAGAGAAAGAGAGAGAGAGAAAGAGACAGAGATTCTTCTCTTGTATTTAAGAGGACAATTTTCATACAAATCCTTAAAATTTAATTCGAAGGAAGAAACTCGATAACAAGTGTCCCTGATGAGGAAAGATCGATCTTTAAAGATCGATTAGATCCTTCTATTTTTTTTTCTTTTCTTTTTTTTTTTTTTTTTTTTTCATCGTTAACACAGCTCCTACTAACCCACCATTATTTTTATTTTACACGATGAAAATTCTTAACCATGGGAGATTGGTCGATGAATAAATATCGGATTATTTTTAATATTGAAATTTTCAATTTGAACATTTTGTTCTTGACAATTTTATAAAGTCATTCATTTACTTCTCTTTTGCAAAACTTCTCTATTTAATTTGTTTTCTTTTTAAATTTTAAATATAAAACTACAAAGAAATTAGAATTTTGTTTAATCTGGGAGAAAAAAAGAACCAAGGAAAAGAAAGAAAAGAAAAGAAAACCAAAAAAGAAAGGAAGAAAGGTCATCTGTAAAAAAAAAATTTTAGTTTTTCCATTACCAAAGATTTCTTTAATAGATTGAAAAAGGACGTCTTTCGTGGTTTCTTATTTTTCGTGATCGAAGACGTGTACAGGATGGAATTGAGATAGAAAAAAAAAAAAAAAAAGGAAGAAAAAAAGAAAAAAGGAAATGAGAAGAAGAAGAAGAAGAAGAAGAAGAAGAAGAAGAAGAAGAAGAAGAAGAAGAAGAAGAAGAGGAGGAGGAGGACGAAAAAGAGGAAAAAGAGGAAGAAAAGAATTTGAAATCACTTGGCACTTGACGCGAATCGAGTACTCACTCGGTTGCTCAGCTTTCTAAACTCGTTGCAGCAGCTGCGGCTACTTAAGTGCGAGAGCGTGATACGATTCTAAGTTGTCGGTAAAAGGGGGGAGAGAGGGGTCGTCTCGATCGATAGGAGTTTCGAACAAGCGATCAAGACAAAACAGGTCCCATGGCTCGTGATCCGTCGTTTTCTATATCGTTGATCTCGATAGGTCGAAAGACTGACCGTATCGCGTGACCGACCAAATCCCTTTCTAAGTTTACACGAATCCTACGTGTCTACGGAGATCTGACCTTTTTACGTTGTTTAAAGGCGAACGTATTAGATATTTAGAAAAAAATATATATATATATTTATATATAAATATTATATTTTATTACCTGAATTTCTCTTCGTATTAATTGATAATATATAACACATAACATATTACATTACTATATTACATTACATTGCTATGTATCTTTTATTATAATATTCATAGAAAAAAAAAAAAAAAAAAAAAAAAAAAAAAAAAAAAAATTAAAAAAGATCTAAATACTTATTAAAAATATAATGTAGAAAGTAAAATGTAGATATGTGAAGTATATAGAATAGGGAAAAAAAATGAAACGATCAACAATGATTAAAAAAAAATAAATTCTTCTTTTTCTACTTATTATTATTATTATTATTATTATTATTATTATTATTATTATTATTATTATTATTATTATTGTTATTATTATTGTTATTATTATTATTATTGTTGTTGTTGTTCTTATTATTGCTGTTGTTCTTCGCCTTTTCTTTGTGTTCTTATATACTTATTA